GGACTGTTTCAGGAGGGTTAGGAGGCGCGGCCTTGTTGTCTGCCTGCCTGCTGCCATGCTCCGGGCCATGACAGTCATGGACCTGTGAGCCCCAAACTGAATGTTCTCTTCATAAGTCGCCTTGGTCATGGTGTTTGTCGCAGAAAGAGAAAAGTAACAAGTTGAGAGAATAATTTAAATCTTGTCATTGTGGTCACATATATATGTATCTACACAGACACACACACATAACACCCACACACATGTAACTATGTACATATATCTGCTTTTTAGTGTGAATAAACCACAAAAAGTTGATCCCATAAAGACAAACGTATCCAGCTGGAGAGATGGCTCAGCGGTTATGAGCATGGGTTGCTCTTGAAGAGGACCTGCGTTCAATGCCCAGCACAGACCTCAGAAGACTCCCAACCTCCTGTAACTCCAGGGCCAGGGCATCCAGTGACCTCTGGCCTCCACAGACACTTGCAGGCACATACAGCCCACACGCACACTTAGAAACTCAAACGCAAATCTTTTAGAAAGAAAACTGTCGATTCTGCTCACTGGTTCACTTCCAGCTGTGTCTAAAGCTCCCACGAGCTGCCCTTGTGAAAAGACTGGGTGCCTGGCATGGGAAAGATTTCTAAAATGTTTACCCTTTTCTGCTTTTTAATCTTTGGAGTTGTGAGGTTATACTAGCTATTTTAAAAGTTAAGGAAACAACTTTTGAAAGCGTATTGCTCGTAAGTTAAATGTAAGGTAGTGCATTCTGAAGCCTTGCGCAGCTCCAGGCCTACTGAACCGTGGCCTGATCATCCCCTGCAGAAACCTTGATTCTGGAGACGGGCACTTAATCACACCTTTCCACGATACAATGGGCACTTCTTCACGTTAGCCTTTTTTCTAAGTATGTCATATGTAAGAATATGTATGTGTGTCCAACTGAAGAAGGCTGTCTGTGGTTTTATCTCCTGCGCCCTTAGCTCAGGCTGGTTTACTTTCACACATCTTAGAACTGTAAATTAAGTCAGTCTGGAGCACAGCAGGACTGGACCATTGCGCATGCCACTTTGTGCTTCTTTGATCTGCACTGAAGACTGTACCCATTGTTTAGCTCCACGGCTACGTAGTTGTCCATGGTGGGAATAAATGAACACAAATTTGTTTATCCAATTTTAATATTTTTGCATGTTTCACAGAACATTTTTTTGTCCTTCTTAATCACAGAAAAACTTAATGCAAGCACTAAACATGGAACTTCTGGCAAGCCCTGTACTCCAAATCTGTCCCCACAGTACCTAGGCAACCTCATCTACATTTTGTCAAATTGGTACTTTTCTGGATTGAGTTGTCGATGAAATATTAAGTATATCTTTCAGATGTGGCTCTCTTCCTGCACTGGTGGCACATGCCTTTAATCCCAGCACTCAGGAGGCAGTGGCCAGCAGATCTCTGTGTTTGAGGGAAGCCTAGTCTATGGAAGGAGTTCCAGGACAGCAAGGTCTACATAAATAGAGAAAATTCTGTCTTGAAAACAAACAAGCAAACAAAAAAGATCCCATTCTTTCATTCGGTATATTCTTTACGGTTAGATAATTGTCCAAGTCCAAGATCTACCCTGTCCATCAAGGTCCAGGTGAAGCACAATCCATTAAAACAGGACTGCCTCTCTCATCCACAGCGACTCTGTCCCAGGTCCTTCCAAAACCCTTCATTTGCGTACTGAATGCACTCTCTCCAGCTGGAGACGATCCAGCTCCCCAGGACCTGTTTCGATCCCGGTTTTCCAATGCGAAGCACTAATTTTACAGACCATGGTCAGGCAAAGTCAAAATTTCTGGGTCAAATTCAAAATGATGAAAGTAATTATTAGTACCAGATATTAAGCCATGCAAATGGTATATTTACAAAGTTACCTTCCACAAAAATGGAAGAGAAGCAATGGTAAATAAAGCATCCCACTGCTTATGCCGGGATGTGGGTTTTTCTTTTTGTTTCTTTCTGAGACAGGGTCTCATTCTACAGCACATTATATTTTAGCATAATGGCTTCTTTGTTTTCCTCGTAGAAAACACAAGCTTTAGCATTCTCAGGACACAGAATATTAAGAACCAAATGAGGTCATCTGTAACCAGGAATGATGGCTTATACCTTTAGTCTTAGCACTTAGGAAGTTGAAGCAGGAGGATTGTCATGAGTTTGAGGCCAGTTTGGATAACAGAGTAATAACCTGTTTTTAAAAGGGGGGAGGGAGGGAGGGAAGGAGGGAGGCAGGGAGGTAGAAAAGGAAGAACTGGAAATAAAGATCATTTGAGAAGAAATAAATTGACTTTTTTATTTTTAAACTTTAAAATTATATTTTAGCCCCAGAGCTACAAATAAGGAAGATTTCAAAACAAGTTCTGTCATTAATAAAGGGATTATAAAGTCCAATGGATCATAACACTAAAGCCACAAGTGCTTCAGAATTCAGAGAGCAGGGTGGCTGTTAGTCAGGGGAAATGCATGCACGGAATCCAGCTACTGCAAACAGAAACAATAAGACATTCTAAAGAGGCTCAGAGTCTGTCCACTCTTTGTCTTTCCCTCAGAGTGTTAAATAAAATGGATGGGAGACAATACTCATATGAAAAATATCAAATATACTTTTTAATTATCTATACAAAAAATTAATTCAAACAGCTGCTCTTAAAGACTATGTCATAGGGAGGCTACAGAGGTGGCTCAGTCAGGAATGTGGCTGCCACATAGCACAAGGACATGAGTTCAGATCCCCAGCCCTGCAAAAGCCAGGAGAGATCCATGTATCTATAACTCCAGCATGGAAGTGTTAGGTCATGGACCAGCCAATCCAGTCCTATTGATGAGCTCTAGGTTTACTGAGAGACCTTAGAGGGCCTCTGGCTCACCTACATGTACTCACATAGATGTCAACCTGCAATACACATACACACAAGAATACATCATAGGAACAATGTTTGTAATGCATTACATTATTATACTAAAATCATCCTATAAAAAGAACTTCATAAAGTCAATAAGAAGGTCATTGTCTACAGCAAACAGACCAGAGCTGTTATAGGTAAACAGGCAGTGCAGAGAACAGATAATTACAGTGGCCTTGAACACAAAGAAAACAATCTCAGATAAACACAAATTTAAAACCATACCAAAGTGCCCTTTCCACCTATTAGATTTACAAGATTGAAAAGTTTTTCAAGATCTTCTTGGCAAGAGTATATAGCAGTGCAAGCAGTCAGTCACACTGTTGATGGGCAAATAGTCTGGTAGAACCTCAATGACAATACAGTGACAACCATTCAAATGACAAGGACACTGCCCTCTGACCACCACCACCACCCCCCCGCAACGGTCACACTTGGATTCATCCCTTAAAATGTCTTCATCATAAACCAAGTGATACATGTACAAGACTCAGCTATCACACTAAAAATGATGCCAAGCGCTGGGAGCTCCATCTGAGCCTCCTTAGGAGGCTCAATACTCTAAGCATCTTACAAAGGAATTCTATCCATTGGAAAAGCAAGGAAGTAATCAACAAGGCACCCGCCCTGAAATGAGGAATCTTTACTATGCTAGCCAACAGTCTGCACAGAACACAGTTCTTCTGCTTAAACAGGCACTGTCTGAAAAAAAAAAACAACAAAAAACGGTACAGAGAACTAGCAGCCCTGGTGGCCTCTGGGAGGAAGCTGGGGAGCTGGGGATGGGCGTGGGAAAGAGATTTTTCAAAGGGAAAAGACTTTCAAAGGGAAAAGATTTTCAAAGTGTTTACATTTTTGTACCTTCAAACTTTGGAACTGTGCTGTTCTTAACTAAATAAAATTTAAAACATGCTGCTTCTTGGTAACTGAGACATGGCCCTAAGACTGGCTTCCTGTCCCAGCCTCGATCAACATAATATAACCTCTCTATTTAAGGGCTCAGGTAACTTTACAACAGGATGGAGACTTGGAATAAACTCCAGAAGCAGCAATAGCTGAGAGGCCCAAAGTTAATTAACATCCACAGACAACAACAAGACACAGCTCGTTTTCAGAGCAAACCAAGACTAGCAGGGATCTAAAGAAAACCCTTCAAGTTGCTCAAGTTAATCTAGAAAAATGACAGGCTACGTCTCTCTAGTGCATTTAGTGCACACTAAAAATGAACTTTAGGGTTCAGAAATCTATGTCCTGTAAATAGGTATCTGTTAGTGAAAGTGCTTATTCTGCACTGCGAGGGTCATGTTTGTTATGAAAACAATCAACAGACAAAGGAGGTCTTTCTCTGCCCTCGGAACGCTAGTACCAGATGATAGGGCACATCCTTGGGGGATGGAGCCAGACACTGTCTGGTGCTTACCTAGGCAGAACACTTTCTGGTGAGGCAAACCTGTTGATTGGGGGCTATTCAAAGAGCATTCCTGTCCAGTTCCCTCTGGAGTAATTTCGCCTGAAATTACTACCGTCCCCACCCCCACCCCGCTGTGCAACCCGGGGGCGGGGCGATGTGCCTAATCCACCTGTTTGTTTACCTCCTGCTTTCTCATCTGGGAGCAAAGACAGTAAACCCTACCCTCCAGGGGAAGGAAAACAACTCATTCACTGCCCTTCTTCGGTGGCTGATGAAGGGCAGCAGTGTTGAGACTGTACCTAAGCTGGCCCAGATATGCCGTGGAAACATAGGTCAAAGGACCAGCGAGTTGACAATACCAGGGCCGAAGTTTTCAAGAGCTCTGGGACGTCCCTAGATACAGGAACACGTGGGCCAGCCGACCATCACCTCCCTTTGGAGGGTGGACACCTGCAGCCAGGGTGACAGCCATTCACAGGCAAGTGCGTCTGGAGGAAAGTTGAAGTGGGTTACTACCTGTTTCAGACAGGTGACCAAGCAAGTGGGACCGAGCTGTCACTTCCCCCGCAGCGCCCATCTCACCCCGGCCAGGCCACATCCGGCCCCGGGCGCCCCAAGGTCACCTGCCCTTTGGGGCGCCCCCACCCAGCCCCAGCACTCACCAGAACAGCAGGTTGGCACCCAGGAAAGCGAGCAGGCTGCGCAGCGGCCTCTTCCAGCTCAGGAGCTCGTCCGCGCGACAACCCAGCCACAGCACGGGCTCCCCGAGCAGCCAGGTCAGGGCGGCGGCCACCTTGCCCGCGGCCTCCTCCACCTGCGGCCC